ATGTTATTTATAACAAAACACTCTTGCAAAACACCATCAAAGTTTACTATATGGAGGTTGKCCTACCTTTGAGTCCTCGTTTTAGTGCTTCGTCCCCAGTGTCAAGGGCTGCGACCGTGACATATCGCGCCATTTTTAAAAGTCGTGAATAGCAAAAAGATTCAATGTCCGTTTTTATCTTAGGTTTGATATTTTAAGCATGCAAAATGGTACTCAGAGAAGCAGTCATCCCTTTTCCATGTTCCGTCATTCCAATCCATAAACACGCACTGACCTAGTCCCCCGCTACCAGGCAGCCCTTGAGCCCAGTTTCTATAGTCATCCTCGTCATTAAGTTCATCACCGCCAKGCCATTTCCATTTACTGCCGTATTTTCTTAATCCAAACCAGAAATTTGATTGGAACACCTTCCGCAGCACTTCATTCACGCCTTTGYTATTTATTCTTGCAAGGGGCATGCCTTGTTTTTCACAAGACGCTTCGGCATTTTCATAAGATTTGGTYACATTAGAGGCGTAGATACCTATTAATAGAACCAAAATGTCACATGAATTYTCGGCTCTCCAATYATCTGATTGGTTCGTTTTCTAAAACAAAGTRCTAACCCAAGTTTTTAAGCTTTTAAGTTTTTTGTTTTTAACTTAAAAGTTAACTTTGTTTTCTGCGGGATGTGCTTTTAATAATATCTTASTACGTTTTCGTATATTCTTTATATAATATATATCAAGATATTCTTATCTTGCTTATCAGGGCCCGGTTGTGTGAAGGGCGAATAGAGCTATAGACCGGTTAAATCCTACCCAGATAAAATCCATACAAAATCACATAAAATATCCATACAAACCCATGGACAAACATAAAAATAACACAACCTTGCAGTATAACAATATGCGCTACAAGAATTTATTTCGAACTTGCGAAAGGTGYTAGTCAGCAGCCATGAATAAGTCTGACATGCGCATCATACAGTACTTACGGTAAAAACATTTCCCCCCATAGTAGCCTTGCAAACACTCGCATTTGTACTTCAGTAAAGGTAAGTTGATGCAAGTAGCATTATTTTTGCACGGATTACTGTTACACGCTCCGAATTCTACAGATAGAGAGAATACATAAGAAAAAAATGAAACGACTAAAGATTTGGCATCATTTACTATATAGTTTCGTACCGCACAAAGAATTGTKCGGCACTCATCAGGTAAGATAGAGAGAATATATATGTTGTTATTTATTTTAATTTCAGCCATATTTTAACCATGTAATTCTTTATTAACCGATATAAAAATTAATGAGTTCGTATAGGAAGTTTTAGATTATTTTTTCAAACACAACATAGACAAATTGCAGAACAGGACTTTTATTGTCGCTAGCAAAACTATACCGACTGTAACTTCCCCTTAAGTTCCTGTATTTCTGGTTTCTAATTTGMCTATTGCAATTTTWAATACGTAAGAGGTAAATTATTGACTTACCAGTTTCACAGTTAGTACCGGTAAACCCCACTTCACAAGTACATTTGTACGCGTTAATCTTGTCCAAACACGTTGATCCATTCCCACAAGGATTGCTGGCACATTCGT